CTATTGAGGGGGAGCAAATCATTTTATTGTTGTTTAGGTCATTTATCTTTTTCTTCCTTGAAGGTCTTGTTTCCATATTTGTTCAAGTCTGTGCCTTTGTCCTTTACATATTGTGCATCTTGATGTTTGGGAACCTTGTTCTATTCTAGAAAAAGGTAGATACAGATATTTTCTCAAGTTTATTAATGATTGCTCATGATACATGATTTTTATTACGGTCCAAAGAGGAAGTTCTAGAGGTTGTGAAGAATTTTCATTGTATGGTGTTTACACAGTTTCACATTGATACTCTGATTTTGCACTCGTACAATGCAAAAGAATATTTCACTAATGATGTCAATGCATACATCCAACATAATGGTATGTTACATCAAAGCTCATATCCTTGCAAACCACAACAAAATGGTGTTAAAGAGCAAAAGAACAAGCACTTGTTGGAGGTGGCTCATGGTTTACTTTTACAGATGAATGTTTCAAAGAGCTTCTGGGCTGATGTTATTCTCACAGCACCATACCTAATTAACCACATATCATCTAGATAATTGCAATTTAAGGACCCACAAGTCATCTAGATAGTTATCTCTTTCTTCTGGTAAGCTGGACCTTCATGCCATTCCTTGTATTTCCATGACTATCCAATCTATCACAAAGGGTACAAATGTTAGAATCCTATGTACAAGAAAGTGTATATCTCCATGGATGCCTCTTTTTTTGAATCTTGTCCCTTTTTTTTACCTCACCTTAGCAGGAGAGTAGTAGTGATGCAAGAAGTATTTTTCTTTGCCTCTTCCTGTTCAGTCATCCCAACAACAGTTTCTGCCTCAATAACCTCCTCAAGTCTACTCTCATCATACTTGGCACCACAAAGGCCAGTCATCAGATCTACCACTAGGTACAGAGGTGTGGAACCAAATGAAGTGCTTCCAATGCCATCAGAACCTCATGAGGCAACTCTCCACCTTAGCCATTCTTCAGGTACTTTTGAACCCTCTCCTTGTGATGTTGATCTTCCTATTGTTCTATGTAGGGTGTGAGGTAGGGATGGCAATTTTCCCCATCCCCGACGGGGAACCGACTTCCTCGACCCGATGGGGTCGGGGATGGGAATTGTTTTGGTGGGGCAGGGACGGGGATTAATAGGAATCCTCGATTGGGGTCGAGGATGGGGATTGAGGTCCCAGCCCCACCCCGCCCTGACCCCGATTATATATATATATCAAAACATTATTTATAATTTAAAATTTTTATTTATTTTAAGTAAATTTATTTTAAAAAAAAACTATTATCTAAAAGAATTTCGGGGATTCGGGTCCTCGCAGGGAACCTATCCTCATCGGGGACCGAAGATGGAAGACAAATTTTATCCCCGACGGGGATCAGGGACGGGGATGGGGATTAATTTCAAAATCGGGGGTGGGGACGGGGAATATAATCCCCGCCCTATTGCCATTCCTAGTGTGAGGTCCTATACGAAACATCCTATTGTCCACTTTACTTCCACAACTTCATTGTCCCCTAGTTATCGTTCTTTCATTTTTGCTATTTCTAGTGTGTCCATCCCTAAAAGTTTTGCAAAGGCTTTGGAATAAAGAAATCTATGTGTGAAGAGATTTATGTCCTTCACAAAAATTGCATATAAGAACTTGTTGATCTTCCAAAGGGAAAGAAAAAGGTATGTTGTAAATGGGTGGTTCATTGTAAAGCATTAGAAAGATGGTTCTATAGAAAGGTACAAAGCATGGTTGGTGGCAAAGGGGTTCTCTCAAACACATGCTGTAGACTATAATGGAACTTTTGCACAAGTGGCCAAAATGAACTCCATTCAGGTTCTTTTATCTCTACATGTTAATTTTTCATCACCCATTCATCAGCTAGATGCAAAGAATGCTTTTTATGAATGGCTCTTAAATGAGGTGTATATGATTCAGCCCCCTGGTTTCCAGCTAAAAGTGAAGAGAGTTGTTGCATGAAGAAACCTTTATATGGCCTAAAACAATCCCCCTAGAGCATGGTTTGAGAGGTTCACAAGGTAGCTTAGTTGATTTTGTGCAATGTCAAGCTGATCATATACTATTTGTAAAAAGAAAAGGTGACTTTGTGGCTATTTTGATCATCTACATAGATGACATTGTAATTACAAAAAATTGGGAAGAAATTCCGGCATCACAGATTGAACTGAAGGATCTCAGACCTCTAAGGTACTTGTAAGCCAATAGGATGAGGATGGTCTAAAGGTCCTAAAGTTGGGATCAAGAGTGGCTAAGTGTGAAGAGAGCTAAGGCTGAAAACCAAGAAAAGCTAAGTAGCAGAAAGGATTATGGGCAAAAATGGCCAAGGGAAAAGATCCCCCCGTCAGGGCCCTCACGCCCTATTTATAGAACCGGGGAACCATGCTATGTGCATGGCCTTGCATATTCCAATATTCCAGAATCTTCCTTCCTTTAACGAAAATATGAGGAACAAATCCCACCTTTTTCTCTCCAATAGACATGTGTCCTTGGGACCACGAGGTCATTAAACCACATTCTTGAGAACCACTCAGGGGACAATGCGTGTTCACAGTACATCAGGTACAGCCAATCGTGGTTTTCTTGACATAGTCACGCGTCTCCCCAAAGTGCACTCTCAAATGCTAAGTTCTCAACACAAGCATCACACAAGATCCCTTTAGTGTGAGGTTGCAGCGTGATTCTGCTTAGCGAGATTGTATACTAGTTTTGGATTCCAGATCTCACTCAACATCGCGAGATCGTGTCGTTCTCAACTTGCAGGGTTCTTGCTCATTGGATCTTGCTTGGTACAGCAAGATAGCACTTTTCTCCTATTGTTGCAAAACCGCAAACCCCTAAGAAATACAAATACAAATATGTAGAGTGTAAATACATAAAAATACAAGTTTTTGCACTCTTACATATATTGTATTTGTACTCTTTCCAAACTGAGCCTTAAATGCATATCCACTCTCTCACAATACTTTCTTGGTACTGAAGTTGCACGGTCTGATAAAAGCATATTTTATCTCCCAAAGAAAGTACATCCTTAAATTGCTGAAAGATAGGGAGGCTTCTGTACCTTTATGACCCAGCCAGATATAGCATTTGTGGTGAGGGTCTTAAGACAATATGTGCACTAACTAAAAACTCCTTATTTCAAGGCTGCAGAGAGCGTTCTTATTTGAATAGACACCATGTAGGGGACTTCTTTTCATCAAACAAGGTCATACTGTGGTGGAGAGTAATATTGATGCTGACTAGATAGGATCTATCGATGATAGGAGGTGGTAGCAAAGTCAAGTTCAAAAGCTGAGTATAGAGTCATGTCTCAAGGAGTAGCTAAACTTCTATGATTAAAAAATCTTCTTATAGAGTTAGGAATATGGAATTCAGATCGATGTCTTTGTATCGTGACAACAAGGCTGCCATTAGCATTGCTCATAACCCAATTCTCCATGAAAGAACCAAACATATTAAAGTTGACAAAAACTTTATCCATGAAAGAGTTGAAAAGGGTAGAAATATGTATTCCTTTTGTGAGCTCAAATGAGCAAGTAGCTAATGTATTTACAAAGAGTGTGTCTAGCTTGCACCATGAAGAGCTATGTAACAAGTTGGGTATGCATGACCGTAGTTGTCAAGGCATCACCAAGGAGACTAGGTGCCTTTGGCTGGGCACCTCACCCAAACGCCTTGACTTGTAGCAATTAGGCGCCTGCCTAGGCGACAAAAAGTCAAGGTGGGTGCCTTATATAATATCATTTATATTGTTGTATCTTATTAATATGTGTTAATACATTTTATTATATGCTATATATATCATTTATACTTTGTTTTAATGTTTTACTATTGAAATTTAAAAGAAAGAAAGAAAGAAAGAGGAAAGAAAAAATATAAGTATAAAGGGCTTCTTTTTTTTTCTATTCTCTCCCTAATTAAATAAAACAGAAATTCTTTTTTTGATCGATAAATAAAACAGAAATCCTATCCTTGTTTTTTCTTCAATATTTATCATACAAGGTTTTTAGTTGCTAAATGACATGAAATCGTTCTATTAAATACTTATTATAGTAGTATTATGCTAATACTATAGTTTGGTTACAGGATAAGGGAGGGCCCTGGAGACTAGCCCACTTCTTAGCCGAAGCCAGGGATATCTTAGGCTCTATGAATGTGAAGTTGGTCTGGATTCCTAGGGAGCAAAATTCTGTTGCTGATTTCCTAGCAAAATCAGGGGTCTCTAGAGATTTCTTGTTTAGTGACAGTTGTTTGCCTATGTAATCCTGCCAAGCCTCTCTTGGCTTCAGTACATCCTCTCATGTACTTCTGTTTGTTCCTTCTTCAATAAAAAGTTTGCTTTGCTTCAAAAAATATATGTAAAAGATTTTTATCTTTTAGATGTGATGATTTGCCACATTTTTAGAGGAAATTTAATGTTCTTAATAAAGAGAATTGCTATTTTTCAATTAATATACACACTGAATGGTATATAAAACTAGGGAACTAGCCAAAAGTTAGTTTTTTATATTATAGAATTCTTATCGCCTAGGCAGGCGAGTAGGTGCCCCAGTGTTGCCCAAAATCACCTAGACGCCTTGAAAACTATGTGCATGACACATACAACCCAACTTGAGGGGGAGTGTTGCAAGGTGTTCTTTTCTTATTTTATGTAGCACAAGGGCATTTTTGTCATTTCACCATATTTTATAATAAAATAGGGTATAGTGGGTGCTTCCGCTGACCCATGACATTGTTTCTCAATTCTTTTGTTCTCTCTCTCTCTCTTCTTTCTTTCTTCCTAGACTCTTCTTTGACAGATTACATGGTTAAATAACAACAAATCCTTTTTAATATGAAAAATAATTAGAATTTCTATAAAGATATATTCTAGATACCTTCCATGCTGAATTAAACATAATCTTCTTTGACAGATTCATTGCGATCCTTAATAGAATGTATGCATGTTTACATAAAGATTAAACACCTAACTGGAATCACAAGACACACCTCAACATTATCTCCGTATAAGTTAAGACGGTGATTCTCATTGTTGAAGACTTGAGCAGGATACTTATTCCTGGCGTTGCAGGCCATATCATCTGCCAACATAAGTATTATCCTATCATCAGGTATTCCAAGCCGTTTTACCGTCCTATTAAAGAAAAAAGTAAAGAACATATCAGTATTCTATGAAAATGCAAAGATGCGGAAAGGGGAAAAAAGATTATGAGAACCTAAATTAAGACACATGCTTTACCTATATAAGGATAGAGTATTGGCCATGTGTCGGTAATTAAACCTGGTCAAGAAAAGTACTGAATCAAACAGCTAAGCGATGGAAGTACTGTTGAAGCAAGATGCATGATAATGGGAAATGCTTAATTTACAAGCTTTTGCAAGTTCAGCAACATGTTAGGCAACAAATTCATAGATGCCCCCTACAAATGAAAGAACATTAATGAGTTGAAAAAAAAATTAATATTATAAGAGCTTAATTTACAAGCTTTTGCAAGTTCAGCAACATGTTAGGCAATAAATTCATAGATGCCCCCTACAAATGAAAGAACATTAATGAGTTGAAAAAAAAAWTAATATTATAAGAGCTTAATTTACAAGCTTTTGCAAGTTCAGCAACATGTTAGGCAACAAATTCATAGATGTCTCCTTCAAATGAAAGAACACCAATCAGTTGAAAATTTTTTAATATTGTAAGATTTAACCTCCATAGTGGTTTTATCTAGCATTGCTTATTGATAAGGATGACAAAAAGGACAATATGCAGTATACTATTGATTTGTATGACTCTGAGTAATCCTCTTCTACCAAGTGGCTCAAATCAACTCAACTCAAAAAAGTCTTATTCCAATTATATGAGGTCAGCTGTAAGAATCCTGTTCCGTCATTCCATTCTATTCATTGTCATAACCATTATTAAACTATGAGACCTAAAATCATTTCTCACTACTTCAAACCATGACCTATGCGGCCTGTGCTTAATTTATTTAGACCCTTCAACTTGCAGCAGTTCATTTCATACTAGTTCCATATAAGGTCATCTATGCACTTTTTTTAATGTATAACATATTAAACTTTATTGATTCTGAAAAAAGGAATAATTATATACAACAGCCAGAAATGCTGCTTGAACCACATATAAAAACTCTGTTAACTGTTTAGGTTAACATTAAGAAGCCCATTTGTATGCCAAAAGAGCTGTTGTCTGTTCACCCCCTGCTTTGCTAGAGTGTCTGCAATTGTATAGGCCCTAGGCACCCACTGAAAGCCCTTGATAACGTGCTTCTCTTACTAACCATCTGATCTAATTTCCCTCAATTTATCACCTATCAGGGCTACTCCTAGATTCTCATGAAAATGCTAATTTTTTACCCTACTTTTTAGTTTTCCAATTCATCCATCTCGACCTTCTCACATTTACTATACTTGTTTTTTTGGACACTTATCTTGATTGCCTAACATTATCTCCATAAAACACTGTTGGCATTGTGGCCATTCTATAAATTTATCTTTTAGCTTTCATGTGTATGCTAATGCTAGAAGGAGGAACATTATTTCAAGAATTCAGGTGGGGATGAGATGGTGGAGTGCTGGAATGAAATTCAGAAGAAGGTGGTAGGGTTCTACAAGAATCTATATACATCAAGAATCTAGAGTTGGATGCCCCTTGGGGAGATAGCCCCCAAGAAGCTGAGTGTTGCTTCAGCAAGTTGGCTTGAGAGGGAGTTTGGGTTGGAGAAAATGAAGGAGGCTTTAAAAGGTTTAAATGGGGATAAGGCTCCAGGTTGAGATAGTTTTAATTTGTTGTTCATAAAGGCATGCTGGAATATGCTAGAAAGAGAGTTTGATCTAATGTTTAAGGAGTTTCACAGGGGAGAAAATCTTGGAAAAAATGGCTAATGCCACATTTATATCTTTGACCCCAAAGAAGGATGGTGTGGTGGAGCTGCAGGATTTTAGGCCAAGGTTCTGTCAAAAAGTGAATGTATAGATTTCAGATCAAGGAGTGGAAAAGCTGGTCTGGTTTGCATGATCGATATAGAAAGCCTAAGACCATGTGGAGTGGGGATTTTTAGAAGAGATGCAAAGGTTGATGGGATTTGGAGAGAAGTGGAGGAGCTAGATGTTTGCTTGCATACCTTCGGTCTCACATTCCAAACTTATAAATGGTATATCCACGGAGTTTTTATAAGCATCCAGAGGATTGAGGCAAGGAGATCCATCATCTCCTATGCTTTTTGTGCTGGTTATGGAAGTATTGAATTTGTTATTGGAGAGAATGGTTAATTGAATCTTATTGAAGGATTCAAGGTGGGCAGATAGGGACCTGTTATTACTCATCTGCAATATGCAGATGACACTTTGATTTTCTTGGATGCATCGGTTGAGCAGGTCTTAAATTTGAGAGAAAATTTGGTGAACTTTGAGTTCTTAAAGGGGCTGAAAGTTAATCTTTTAAAGAGTGTATTGATTGGAGTCAAGGAGGTGGAAAGGGTGGAAAGGAGATTGGATGGATGGAAAGAAAAATATCTATCTTTGGGAGGAAGGATAACTTTAATCAAGAGTGTCCTTTCAAACTTACCAACTTATTACATGTCCTTATTAAGAATTCCATCTCAAGTGGCTGAAAGATTTGAAAAAAAAAAAAATCAGAGGGATTTCTTATGGGAAGGGGTTTGCAGGGAAGGTGGGGGAAAGAAGTTTCATTTGGTAAATTGGGGCAGAGTTTGTAAACCACAGAAAAAGGGTAGGTTGGGATTCAGGAGAGTGAAGAATTTTAGTAAGGCCTTGCTAGAGAAGTGGTTATGGAGATTTGGTTTAGGGGGGGAGGAAAATTCATTATGGAGAAGAGTGGTGGTCTTCGTATGGGGTGAGTGTGTCGAAGGGGATCATGAAATTCAACCAGGAGTTCAGATGCCCAACAAGTTTCTTAGTTGGAGATGGTACAAGAATCAGGTTCTGGGAGGATGATTGGTGCGGGGCAGGCAAATTGTGTGATCTATGTCCAAGGCTGTATAGGTTGGCTGAGGCTGAAGTTTCTATAAATCAATGTTATGAGAGGAGGGTGAACATCTGATATGGTGTCAAAAATTTAGAAGGCCTTTTCTGGATAGAGAAGTGGAGGAAGGCATATCTCTACTGGAGAAACTAGAGGAAATGAAGGATATCATCTCAGACAAGGGATGAACTTCAGTGGAAAGAGTGCTCAAATGGGAAGTTCTCTGTTAAATCATGTTACATGCACTCAGGGAAGATTCAGTTCCAAATCAGATAAATGCTATATGTGAAAATCCAGTTCTTCCAAGGGTTGAAGTGTGTACTTGGCTCGTGGCAATGGACAGTAATATTGACCGTGGACCATCTGAAATCCAGGGGTTTCAGCATGGCCAACATGTGTTTCCTCTGTAATGAACAGGAGGAAACTGTTGGCCATCTATTCTTCTCGTGCAAGGTTGTTGGGTTTTTGTGGAAGATTTTCACTGTTTGTTAGGGTTATCAAACTTTCAGCCCGAATCTGCTGCAGAAATTTTTTTCTACATGGCCGAAGTTAAGAAGCAAGAAAGCAAGACCGCTCTGGAGCTGTATCCCATTTGCAATTTGCTGGAATATATGGAAGGAAGGAAATAGATGAAATTTTGAAGATAAATGTTGGAATCTGGACAAGATTGTGGCGGCTGTTAGCAACTCGATTGCAAACTGGGTTGTTCAACTTTGTAACTTTGGATGGTTTATTTTAATTCTTCTCCATAATAGTTCTTTTCCGTTGTTTTGTTTGCGGGTGATGCCTTGTCACCTACTAGATTGTAATATTTTTTTCTTATTTAATGAAATTTCATTTTACCATAAAAAAAAATCCACAGGTGTGTCCAAACCTCCAACAATCCATGCATTATTCTTGTTGTTTGTTGATCACTACCATACCATATGATTTATTTGGCAACACAACTTACTAGACTGGCAATGCATTACGGTTAGGAACTAAGGATCAGTGTTTTAAAAGTGCAAGGTGCAAAAAAAGCGCAAAGGGCATTTCTGCCGGAGGTGCAAGGTGGGAAACACACCTTTCTGAAGCAAGGCACAAAATTAAAAAAAAAATCAAAACAAATTAAGAAAATATTAAAAATAGTATGAATTAAAAATCCAAACTTTTAATTTTAAACAAAACGTTTAAAAACAAAGCCTATCATCTCAAATTTAAATACATAAAGATAACATATAAAACATATTCAAAGTGAAAATGCAAAAATAAAATAAAAAATAGTATACAAAACATAATCAAGCATGTCAAACTTTTAATTTCTTTACTTCTTTCTCAATTGCATTATTCCAAATAGTTAATGTGATGTTACATCTTTCATTCCTAATTCTACAAGCCACCTTTGTACCAAGCCCCTTGAGGCAAGTCCAAACAAGTACATGTTATGGTCTTAAAATTCTTAATCCCTAAAAAATTATTTTATAATTTTAATTCTTTTAAAAATATCCTTTTTAGGACGAATGAATGAACAACAATAGCACATAGGGGGTTCTCAGAGGTTCATTCATCCTAATAAAAGATATTTGTAAAAGATAATTGAAATTATAAAATCATTTTTTAGGGATTAAGAATTTTAAAGAACCTAACATGGTCTTGTTTGAGCTTTCCTCAAGGGGCTTGATCGGGAGAAGAGGGGCAGAGCCCCCAGCCCAGCCACCACGATTAAAAAACAACAAAAAGCACAAAAAATAAAGAAGGCACACACCTGGGCTGAGGCACAAGGCCCACCAAGCACACACCTAGGCACAACAGGCACACACCTTTTGAAGGTGGTGCACCTGGACCTAGGCAAGGCACATACCTCAAAATGCACCTCACTTGTGTGCCTAAGTGTGCCTTTTAAACCACTGATTAGGATAATCACATTATATGCTCCTGATCTGATAACCATTAGTTCTTTTACATTACCAACTATCAAGAACAAATCTGACTTTTAAATTAGATAGAGCTCCATGTAAAATATCAGTTCAATGCCCATGTTACTCACTTCTTAAATGGGACTTAAAATAATTATAACTTTAATAATTACATGAAAAGGAATAGTAATAATACTACACAAAAAAGAAAAAGAATAAATTAAATCTCGATGCAGTTTATAAATCAATGAATAAATAAAATTAATTGTTTTACTATCAACAGGTAGCCCCAAATTTACATTTATCATCCAAAGAATACTCACTCCCCTCGATCTTTTAACCATTTCCCTTTTTAATTTCAAGAAATATTTCTTGTTTTCTTTCCCCTAATGAAATTCAAAAATAGGTATCAGACCGCAAAGCAATAATAAAAAAAAGAATAAGGAAAAGAAAGGGTATTGTCTTTTTGACAGGTTGAAAAACAGGATCTTGTTTATCAAAAAAAGGGGAGATCTGTTTTGGGCTGCTTTGTAATTGTGTTTCAGGCTTATGTATGTTTAGTGTTTATGGTTCAGTCCTTGGGGAAGGTAACACCTCGTGCCTCCTCCTAGGCTGATTGTACTTTCGTTATTTGAATTAATAAAACTACTCTCATTTATCAAAAAGAAAACAGGATCTTGTTACTTTGATCTCTAAAATTATTGAAGAGGTGAAAAGCTCAAAGTTGATTACCAGAAGCGGGAAGTGCAGACCAAGATGGCCCAATTATTAGTGTGCATTGCCGAAGGACTCCATGCATTCAATTCACAGAGGTGGATTGAAATCAATATCAAGAATAAAATCACTTTGCAACTGGAAAAGCTGTCAAGCTTCAGCCATCCTGCTCTTGCTTTAATGGCCATCTTTGAACCCGTTTCTTCTGCTATTTTGCTTTCAAAAACACCACCATGACAACCACTGTGAAAAATATATATATATATATCAACCACTGTGGCAGATGCAAACCAACACACCAAAAAACCAGCTCATTTGCATTCTTTTGCTTCTTTTGATTTTTCTGCTCATCTTCCAAAAGAACCCTAGAAACAATTCCAAGGAGCAGTGATCCAAAACTTTGTTAGCTTAATTATAGGAAATCACCATCATTCAGTGATTTGGTAATCTTATTTAAACAAGACAATAATAAAAACAATTTATTCATAGTAATCTTCTGTGTCATTGATGAAAATCCATAGCAACACTGGAAAATACCTACCGATCATTCCAATTGTCCAACCAACATGCACAATATTGGATGATGCTTAAACAAATTGAGAGGCCCTGATTCCATTCTGAATGAAAATCAAAATCTACCATTAAATTATCACAATTTTTTAATTACTCTTAGGGGCTGTTTGACAAGTCTTTCTAGGTAGATCTTTCGACAGAGCCCAGTAGACAAGAAGACACACTGAGTTTTTGGGGTCTTGTCTTTAAAGATCAAGATTGTTTGGTACTTTGGTTCGTGTCCTAGTCTACTGGGCTGTTAAAAACAGTTGGAAAGCATGAAAAGACCAAAAGCATCATTTGAAGCTTCCTGATTTTGTGCTTTCTCGGTCTTTCTGCATGCTCATCTTTGTGTCTTTCAGTCTATGCGATACCAAATGGAAAAAGACCATTTTTTGGTCCTTTGAGCTTCCACAGATCTAAAATGTGCCGAAAAGACACACCAAACACCACCTTAATTCCTTTTTTCAGCCACAGTAATTGGAATTGGAAACCCAGACACTAAACAGGGAAAGGGGATATTCAGATCAGCCAAGCAGGTCAAAATCTAATGACTGTTCTTTTAACCTACATGATGCTTTTCTATTGCTAAAAGAAGTTTCGGCAGAGAGATAATCTAGATTGGGCACCGAAGGAAATGAAGAAGAATGATAAAGTGGGGTGAGCCATCTTTTCTCAGTTTAGGGAAAGCATCCTTCAAAATTTTTGTTTTGATCAGCAACAAAGAAGATGAATTCATTCACTAATTAAAACACATCTTCCAACATTTCTCTAGAGGGGAGAGCTACCTAAAGCTCATCTCTATTGCTTGATGACTAAAACCATAGAATCTCGCTAATATGGTTGTCAAGGCAACACCTGGGCAACTAGGCACCCTTGGTTGGGCACCTTGTCTGATCGCCATGACTTATAGCAAGAACGTGCCCACCTAGGCAACTACACACCTGCCTAGGTGACAAAAATCACTAGGCAGGCACCTTATTATAGTATCATTTCTTTGTCTACATCTTACTAATTTGTGTGTTAATACATTCTATTATATACTATTATGCATCACTTGATACTTTGTTTAAAATTTTACTATTGAAATTTAAATGTTTCAAGGATTTTGGGAAAAGAATGAAAAATTAAAGAAAAAAAAAAAGAAAAAGAAAAGGATGAGGAGGTTTCTATTTCTTTTGCCTTTTTATAAAACAACAGTTCCACTCATCTTTTTCTCTCTTACTCTCTATCTTAAACTTTTATCATATAAATTATAACCTTCTTCAGTTGCTTATTTAATATGAAATTTCTCTATTAAACACTTTAGTATTATTATTTTTGAAAACATTGAAATGAATATATTTAAAATACTATTGCCTTTTAGATATGATTATTTGCCATGTTTAGAAAGGAATTTTAATATTCTTTTTTATCAGTAATCAGTTCATTTCATTATGAATAATTAGAAAGCATTGCAGCGATTTCTGTTCAATGTTTTAAAATACGGAAGTGTGACACGAGGCGTTCCACTACTTAGGGACGTGAGGCGTAGTTCAGAACGTAAGTAAAAGGCATAAACCTCCTGAACACAAGGAGACATAAGCCTCCTTAAGAGGAGGGGGAGGAGGAAGAAGAAACAAGAGGATCTCATTTTTCTTTATTTTTAATAAAAATCTTTTGTATTAAGAAGAATGAAGATGCCCAATACTAGCTGAAAGGAGGATTTCATTTTTAATCTTTCCCCTTCCCTTCCCTTTTCTTTTCTTTCTTTTCTCCTTTTTCTTCTCTTTCTTTCTTTTCTTTCCCTTCCCTTTCTTTTCCTTTCCTTTCCTTTCCTTTCTTTTCTTTTTTTCTTTCTTTTTTTCTTTTTTTTCTGTCTTTTATATGAGGTGTGTATGAGGCACATGAAGCATACGCCTCTAGCACACCTCATGAAAAAGGCATATGAGGTTCCCGCCTCTTACACCTAAGGCGTACGCCTCAGAGGTGTCAACGCCTCTGGCATACACCTTAGGGCATTTTGGGGGTGCCTTGCCTGGAGGTGCACCTCTAGACATACACCTCCCATGCCTTTTAAAACACTGTTTCTATTACAAGTGTAATCAATCCCTTTACAAATTGAAAACCCTAAATCACAGATTTGGCCAAAAGAATTGATCCCTATACACCCCTTATTTTGCCAAGGTGTCATCCATCCCTTGTACTGTCGACTCTAACAGCCTCTAAGTACTTTGCAATGCTCTTGATCTCTATAATGACATGTCTTTAAGTCCACACACCTGGGCTGCTGTCATTCATCGAAGAGATTACCAATTTTGATCCACCCTGAATCTCCACATGCTGAACCACATTGCTTTGCTATCTCCATTCCTTGGTGCAAGGCTAACACTTCAGCTCTTGCAGATTCCCCCATTCCAATTGGCCCAAAAGGCCAGAAAACAATGACATCACTTTCCCTATTCCCTGTTGGATCCCTGAAAACACCTCCAATTCCCTACCATCCTGGATTTCCCAAAGAATTTCCATCAAAGTTCAGTTTTATTTTATTAATTGGAAGGGGCTTCCAGTCCATTATTACTTTGTCTTGCACATTGGAAGATCTTGCCACTTCATTCCACGCTCTTAGGATATCACCTACTGTCACCATTTGAAATGCTTTCAAATTTTTTACCTAGTGAGCAATTTTATCTTTATACCCTCTACAAATGTCTTATAAGGTCCTGCACCTTTCCTTGAAGATTCTTTCATTTTGTTATTCCAAAATTGTCCAAATAGTTGCTGCCCTAGCTGCCTTCCATAATAGCCTTCCCCTCTTTTTTGTTTGTCTGAAGAAGCTTGAGCTAAACAATGTGGTAATATATTGTGGAGGGTCCCACCTGCATTCAAAGAAAGAAAAAATGCACACCCATACATAATTTACAGAAGTAAAGAATATTAGTAGATAAGGAATGGTGTCACCATTTGCCTTGCATAAAACATATATATGTGCAGAGAGGCATTTATTTGGCCTTCTTCCCTGGAGAACATCATAGGCGTTTATCTTTCCAGGAAACCTTCCCAGCAAAAGGCTTGTATTTCATCTTTCTTTCACCGGAAAGGTTTTTTTTATCAATAACCAGAACTTTTCATTAATGTTAAGAAGAGAAAAAAAAAAGAGCACATGAAGTTCTTTTCACCATAGAGTTTAGTTAGAGCATCCACCATAGAGTTTGCAGTTCTTTTCACCCATTGTATCCTTACTTCCATATCCTTTGTAATCCACCTAAATTTATTCTTCTCATTGTTGTATCTCCACATCTTAGTTTCCTCGCTTTGAAGCCATGCCACTACCAATTTGGAACCCCCTTCAATAAATAGCTTCCGAATGTTCAGATTCCTGGCCCTTTGCACCCCCCCCCCCCTCCATCAAAGCCATAACTTCAGTTACTAAAGAGTCTCCCTCACCAATTGGACCTGAGAATAAAGCAAGTACCTTACCCTCCTCATCCCTGAAATTGCCTCCAATTCCTAACATTCCCAGGTTCCCCAAGCTACTTCCATCAAAATTTAGTTTGTTAAACCCTCTTTCCAATGGAGACCATAAAGGAGTGACTATAGTCCTTTTGATGGCTAAATTTAGCCACCTCCTTCCACTTTCTAAGTATATCGTCAAAGAAGACATGTGAGAACGCTTCTGTAGATTTCAATGAGCCACCCAAATCATGATGGTTTCAATTAAGGCTTCCTTAGTTCTTTCCTTCTCCCTAAAAATTCTTGAATTCTTTTCTTCCCATATTGTCCAGCTTATTGCTGCCCTTGTACATCACATAATTTTTCCCCTCTTCTTTGGCCAAGGGAATGCTATTAGAGCAAAGAGGCTTGTGACATCATTCGGAGGAGTCCACATGTGCCCAAATAAGGAAAAAAAACCATTCCCAAATGCTAACAACAAAGGAACAAGAAATAAATAAGTGATAACAAGTCTCCCTATTGGTTGTACAAAAAATACACCAATGAGGGGGATAAGTACCACTTCTGTCTCTTTCTTTGGAGCCAATCAGAAGTATATATTCTTTCATGTACAACTTCCTAGCAAAAAGCCCCAATTCTAGGAGAGATAGGCTTATACCATACCTCCTTGACAGGAAAAGGTCACAAGGAATTAAGAAGAGGTTGGGTAAGAGCCTTCAAAAAAGAAGCACATGAGTAAGAACCAAAAGGAGAGCAAGTCCAAGTTCGTCCATCTAGCTCAGAGGGAACGAAAAAGACTTCTTCTAGGGATCAGAGAAATGTAAGGACACTGAGTAGTTTGAAGTCCCTTAAACCAACCAGGGTTCCAATCAAAACCAATACTTGAATTTAAAGGAACTAGGAATTTGGAAATAGGCTCATTTTTAAAGCAAGATAAGGTAAACAAAGAGGGATAAAAGGTCCTTCAAGGTAGAGTTCCCACACCAAATCTATTCCCAAAATTTAATGTGATTCCCAAAGTTAAGATCATACCTAAAAAGAGAAAGGAACAAAAGAAGAACCACATGGATCGCTTTCCAAGGAGAAGTTTGAGTAGCCCTAGGCAATGAACCAGCTATCCATTGTCCAAGAGTCAATGTATTGCCCACATCTTGTCCCTTTCTTTAGGCATTCTCCATAACCATTTCCCTAGAAAAGTCAAGTTTCTTTTCAGGACATTTCCTATTCCAAGACCCCCCCCCCCCCATATCTCTTGCTTCTACTAACTAACTCCCAACACACCTTATGGTCCCCCCTATCCTCACCTGGCTCCCATAAAAAATCCCTCATCATTTTCTCAATTCGCCTGTCCACACCTTCCGGAACCTTAAACACTAACATA